GGGCAGAGGGGCTACATTTATATAAAACAAGTTCTAAAATCCAGGACCAAGAGACATGTCTGTGAACACATAAATCCAGGGGAAAATGGCTTGAAGAAGAGACTGTTAGGCTGAAGCACTTGCAATCCCAACACTGTGGCATTGCACAAGAACCTGAAAGTGAAGGACTAGAAATCAAAACAAGACCAGGCAACGTCAGTGAACTAGGAGTACACAAGACACCAAGGCAAAGATGCCGTTTTTTCAGTTTTAATAATCATAATCTTAAAAGTCTTTACGAGTAGGATTTTTAACCCAGCCATGTCCCTTTGAACAGCAGCAATACTCGAAGTACGGAGTCTGTTTTTAGTTTATACTAGAAACTATCGTCTTTGCAGCAGTGTGCCACACTAAAGGCAAAGGGGCTTAGAACAACAGCTGTAGTCCGAGCCACTTATCTGCAACTATGTGTGCTTCGAAGACCGGATCTTTAAAAAAAATAAAAAAAAAATAAAAAGATTTAAGATCCCAGAGCGTCTTGCAGCCACTGCAATGACTGCTCTATAACAGAAGAGTGCAGCTCGGACAGCTAGAGGAAGTCTTTATCCTGCAGTTTAGCGTAACAGACTATCAGTCTATGGGCGGTGCTGCTGTTTATCATCCTGTAGCCTCCTCAGTTCGAATTACTTTAATGGCAGCAAAGAAGTCCCGGTCTTGTTCTGAGGATGTGGCCCTGGGAGCGGAGAATGAGAAGCCAAACTCTGCATTCTTCAACCACTTGGGAGTAGGACTCTCACCTTGGCTATGAAAAGAGGAAGAATGAAACTACAGCTTGGATTCACAAGCCTTGGGAAAGCGTTAGGGTTAGAGTGGTGTGGATTCGCTAGTCGGCCACTATGTTCAGGGCAGAAGGATTTGTAGGACACTGGCATTCGGGGCTACAGGCAGCGGCAGAGACTGTGTTACTTGCATGCTGCTACGTCTGGAAAGAATCTCGTGTGTAACGTTCAACTTGCTGCACTGGTTCACTACAGCTTGGACACTTCTTATCTCCCTCTTCGCCATGCAAAGTGGCACAGTCACAGCAGAAGACATGTAGGCAGGGTATCATGCGTCCATAAATTCTGATGGGAAATCCACAGTGGTGACAAAAGTGAACAGGGACAGTATCTTTTTCTCCTAGGAAGTTTATCTTGAAGTCCCAACACACGTGCTCAGGAAATCTTGCATTCTCCAACCCACAATCTCCATTGCACTGCGGCTTCTCTCCTTCGTCAAGTCCTCCTCCGGCACTAGGATGTGCCTCTGACAGTGGCCAACACGTGCCTCTTGCGGCGGAAGGTGCACATTGGATTTGGTTGGAGATTGGCTTGATCAGGTCTGGTCCGTGACCATCAAGACCAACCAAGGATTCTGAATTCTCAGTGCCTTGTAAGTCAGTGAGGTCCATGAGCCGGTCAGTCCAAGTTGAGGAATGCAAAGCAGCAGGGGGCCAATGCCTGGATCGTGACATGAGGGAGTAATTCAGAGAAGCAACAAACTTTGTAACTTGGAAATACATCAAGTGTGAAGCATTAGGATTGAACAAGGACAAGAAGCTTTGCTCAATGGGTACTGTGCTGTCAGCCTCCCCGCCCCAAGATACTCATCCATCAGCCTTTATCTACAGTCTCCCCACATTGGAGTTAAAACAATTGTGCAACCAAGAAATAAGCCAAGTGATGGAAGAAACCCACACCAGAAGACTCCTTCCCACGGGAAGGGATGGAGCCAGGAACAACTAAGCACTGGACTATTTGGTGCAGCAGAGAGATAAAGCAGAGAATTAATAAGATACTTACTCCATCTCAGCAGGCTGTGGGGAAACAGACGGTGCAGCTAGAGACATTGCTTGGATTTGTTCTATAGGTTTAAACTGGGTGCTGGTTCCTGTTAATTCTTGCGTGTATTGTACTACGGGCCCTTTGCTCCTCACAGCACCTGGTGGAAGAGAGAATCTCTACTTCAGCCAAAAGATAGCTCAGTGGTTTGAGCATTGGCCTGCTAAACCCAGGGTTGTGAGTTCAATCCTTGAGGGGACCATTTAGCGATCTGGGGCAAAAATCTGTCTGGGGATTGGGCCTGCTTTGAGCAGGGGGTTGGACTAGATGACCTCCTGAGGTCCCTTCCAACCCTGATATTCTATGATTCAAAGATTGGTGCATTAATTAACTACATGATATTGGTAGATTCCAGTTACCGCTCACAGAAAAATATGCAATTGAACTGTGAACAACAGATTGTTAAACAATCAAATCTATTCTTTGGAAAGACTTCAGACCGACAACCACAGCACTGAACATCTAGCAAATAGCAACGTTGCAGCTAGTGGGAGATGTGTAGACTCAAGAAGGGTTAAGTCCACATTAGCAAAGTTAAGACAGCAAGAATCCCATTTTCTAGTGCTGTAGACACCGGTGTTGCCAATTATCTCCAACAGACTGGACTCTGAACGCAACTAATTTCCTTGCCAAGTCTTAAAACTAGTGAATGATGGGCCAATCTTGTAGCCCTGATTTGGTCAAAGCTTCCATAGGAGTCCTGCCTGAGAAAGCAGTTTAGGTTCATGCCCTCAGACAGACACTGGGGGAGTGACATACCAACATTGGGACGAGTCCTCATCTGCCCTCCTTGTTTCTTTTCCAGAGTGGAGGCCGTGGAGGTTTTCATGCTGAACATAGGCTCCAGGCGCGTGGAACCACGGTAAATCCATTCACAGCGTTTGTCATCCTGTGGCAAAGAGAGAATATTGTAACACTCACAGCATCTGTCTGAGATTCAAGATAAGAAGTGTGTGTGTTTAAGGGGACGTCAAGATTTGAAGTATATATACAAAAGTGCATTCATGTTACACTATTTCCACAGTGTATTAAAACTCAGAGTTTAAAAATCATAGTGCACTAAATGTGCTCTGAATCACACAACAGGACAAGTGTGTCAAAAGCGTGCAGAAGAGCATGCGCTCTAGGGGCACTGCATGTACAATACAGAAGAGAGACGGTGAGCTTTTTACAGTTAGAAAGGGAGGGAGACTCGTGCAAAGGAAAGATAGAAGATGGCAAAGCTGGCAAAAGATACAGTAAGGAGAGGGAGTAAGGATTGCATTCTGAAGTAGGCGCTTTCATTTAAATGATGGCCTTGCAGCTAAGACACTGGATTGGTACTCAGAAGACCTAGACTTTATTTCCAGCTCTGCCACCAGCTTCTTGGGGGATGCTGAGCAAGTAATCGCCGAGTCTCAGTTCCAAGAATAATACTTTGTTGCCTTAAAAGGTGGTCGAAGGATAAATTGGTTAGTGTTTATCATCAGGATTTCACATACTATGAAGGCCACACGAGACCTAGATAAGCATGGAAAGAGACAGGAAATCAGGGAAGGGAATTAAGCAGAGGGAGGGGTGGGGAACAGTAGTGTACTAGGACAGCAAGACTATCACTTAAGCTTCTGGTCAGTTTCACACCAGTTTTCTCACACTAGCACAGTGCTCTTAAGTTTGGATTCAGGAGGCCGCTGGAGGAGTTTACAGTCAGAAAGAAGCCAAAACAAATAGACCATTAAATAAGAAATAAAACTGGTGTTATCTATTTCAATTTGAAAACACACATCTATCCTATACTGAGCCTAAAAATGAGACGTTTTTAGGAGCATCTACTTGACCTAGGAGCCGAAGCCATTTTTGAACACATGACTTGGGTGCTTTGGAAAATTTGACCCACTCTCATTTTAAGCAAAAGTCTCTCAGGTGGCATCTCCAAGCCCACCTACAGCTATCGGACCATATTCCATGCAGAACGGAGGAACTGCCAGCCTGGATCAGAGCAGAGGCCCATTTAATCCTGCATCCCATTTCTAACTGTGGTCAGTAACCAATACACTTTTAATTTACTTTCCATGGCAAAGACGCTCATTTTGTCCGGCCTGACCTATTGGAGAAGGGAAGTCCTCAGCCCCAGATTGGAAACATCTCAACAAAATAAACCCAAGCTTCCCCCATTCCAAGGGTAGGGAATGCTTTCATACCAGGAAGAGGATTTTGACCAGACTGCCATCCACTTCTTCCACTCTGGATTTCCACCAGGTCCCTTCCCATTCTGTTTTAATCAGCTGGCCGCTCTTCAGCAATACCATGGGACGGTTTGGGTAGGCACTGATGTACTCCTCTATGAAATCACGGCAGGAAACGTCTTCTATGTCTTCCCAGGTCTTCTTTACTATTAGGAAAGAAAAAAGGCGGGGAGAAGGCTTTTACAAAGACCTTCTCTGCAGCCTCTCCGGTGATATTCCAGATGGATTTTACGTTAAACGGACAAGACAACTAAGACAGTCTAAAAGACAATGGAGGATCGAATAGAATGATTACTGTAGTGCAAATACTTGTAATCAAAAATAAATATAAAGGGAGCACTGTACACTTTGTATTCTGTGTTGTAATTGAAATCAGTATATTTGAAAAGGTAGAAAACATCCAAAAATGTTTAAATAAATGGTATTCTATTATTGTTTAACAGTGCGATTAATCAAGATTAATTTTTTTAATCGCTTGACAGCCCTAGTAATAATTTGATTGTAACGTTCTGCAGCTTCTTGTGCACAGCAAATCTTTCCAGGCAAGGCGTTTAATTCCAACGCTAGGACAGAACCCAACTAGAGCCCTAGCAAAGCATAGGAGCGTGCAAACAGAGAACTCACGTGGCCTGCAGATTGGGTATAGCTCCGACTGAGTGACGTAAGAAGCATAGCCATCATCGAAGAAGATCAGGAACCTGGGATTAAAAGTGTGACAAAGGGGCCATGTATTTAATACGGCTATGGAGCTGCCTTATGTGATGAGAGTAGTGCTCATGAACGCAGCTGAAAACACCTCACCCACAGCCTGTTTGTATTACTGTAGTGCCTCGGAGCCCAAGTCACGGCCCTTTATGCTAGGCACTGTACAGACACAGAACAAACATCTGCCCGAGAGAGCTTACAATCAAAGTTAGCTGATACTTCCACTTCCTCACCATGGATCGGAACAGCAGTGGAGATATCACACCATCACAGCACAAGGGAATCCTTTCCATTTAGCCTCAGGGGCTGAGGAAAGGAGAAGCAGGGCTTCCTTCAGAGAGGCCCCAAAGATTCCCCAGCAGTGAGGAGCAACAGCAGGGCAGGGATCCCAGCCAGGACTTCTTCTCAGCCTTGGATATGAGCATGGCAGAGAGAGGATCCACCCTCCCATTTGGCAGGACAAAGCTCCCTGCCCCAAACCACAAGGGCCAAGAGCAGAAGAAGCCGCAGTCGGAGCCGTTCCCACAGACGGGGCTTACTCCCCAGAGGCAAAAAGCACCCCCTAGCAGCACCTCTGCACCCTTGAAACACTGACATCAGAGAGTGTGCTCCACAACAGATCGATGGCCTCCGAGTGGCATCCCATCCCTAACCAGAGCATGCATCCAGGAGGGAGGAGTTTATTTTCTAGGCAGTTCAGGTAAGCAGAGGGGCAGTTAGAAATAGTTTGTGTTTGGGGGGAGGGGACGAGAACAAAACCAAATAGGAACCAAACCCTGGAATCACTTTTTCTGGGGACAGGGGGCATTGAGATTACAGGGGCTATGGATTTATAGAGTGGAACGTGGTAGCTGTTTAACAGCATACAGTAACACTACACAACAGTTTTAGGACAACAGCATCTAGTTGAAGTTATATTACAAAAGAGATCACTGATCACCTATAAAATAAGTTGTATTTGCAATATAGCCTCTGAACGCAGTTAATTTTAGATAGTTAACTATTTGTTGCACACAGCTTTGCACCATCAGGAATTTATGACCGAGTCATGTTTGATTATTAATCTTCTCTAAGGTAGATTCAGCCTAAACCATATTTGGAAGAAAGAACCCTGCCTAGTTAGATGTAGATTTGTGTACCCTGTTTTAGGCCTACAATCTCTTTTCCTTAAGGGCTTCTCAAGGGAAGTGATACTGGTAATGCTGCTGGTCATTAATACTTCCATGGCCTATATTTCTCATCATAGTGTTTTAGGGCAACAGTTGCTTTGGGCTGTGTGGAGACCAAGGGTATGTCTACACTGGAAAAAGCCGTGTTCTTAACTTGGGTTAGCTAACCTGGGTTAAAAACCAACATTGAAGACACGACAACTCGTCTTAACAGATCAAATTAAGGGTTATAGGGAGCATGGAGTTGGACTCTGGCAACTAACCCGAGTTAAAAGCTGAATTGCCATGCCTTCACTGCTAGTTAACCTGGGTTAGCTAACCTGAGTTAAGAACACACTGTGTTGTTGTTGTTGCAGTGTAGACATACCCTAACTCCTTGACCCTGTAGCAGGAGGGTCATGGCATTAGCAGGTGCGATTTGACTATCTCAGAAGAAAGTTGCACACAGAATAGGAATTCTGACGGTATGATTAGTGGAATGGGAACGCTTCTCAGGCTATTAAGCATCAAAGATCCAAACCACTTCACTAAAGATGGTTCGCCCAAATTCACAACAAGGTTTAGAATCTGAGACCCAGCCTCAACTTCACTATAGTCTTACTATTCTACATATACCTGAGACTGGGACCACCACTATGGAGGAGGCGGTTGTTTAATACCTCAGTTTATTCTTCATGTTCGGTGTCTCGGCCACAATACCAGCATAGAGCCAGACTTGATTCCCATCCTTGTATTTGGCCACGACCCGGCTTCCAACGTAGAGTTTCTCAGCAGAGGGATGATAGTCATACGCAATGTGATTGCCAGAAAGCAAACTCTTCCCTTTGTTGTCGAATTTCACTTTGAACTTCTTACCAGCACCTGAAAGGCATTTTAAAGAGGGTTACGGTCAATGAGAACCACGTCACTTCACACTGAGATCCCACTACCAAAAAGAACCTCAGATTAGATTATAAAGACAGAAGCAACCATTGCAATCATCCAGGCTGACTTCCTGCATAAAACACAATCATAGGACTTCCCTGTTTGAATTACTCTTTGAACTAGAGCATATCTTTCTGCAAAAAAACCCAATCAAGTCTATGATCCAAGATAGAAACACTTAAGAGTTTAATTCAGAAGATTACTAGCAAGACCACATCATTTATCATCCCTAGTTAAAATATTTTGCACTTATCCAGCATCTTTTCATCCAACGATGTGAAAGCACTTAGACATTCAACCTTGGCACCCCTGTGTGACACACAAGCATTATGCCCTTTTACACAGGGGGGGAAACCGGCACAACTGTGAGGAGATACGATTTGCCCCACCATCCACTCCGTGATAAAACTGGGACTAGAATGCAGGAAATCTCGACGAGACTCCTCTGTTTTAAATAAAGAGCCCATGTTACCTCCAAGCGCTTTTGCAAATATCGGAACACACACTGTTATTCCATTACTACTGTTAGCTCAACTGCAGGAACAGTTCTAGTAGTAAAAACTAAACAGAAGTTTGGGGAAAATATAAACCCTCCTGCTTCAGAATATAAAACAACTTCCAATGGGAGTCAGGAAGAAACTTTCCCTGGGGACGGATTATCCCACATTTGGAAGGGTTTCTTACACCTTCCTCTGAAGCAGCTGGTCAGTATCAGAGACAGGTCCCATGAATAGATGGACGACTATTCTGGTCTGGTATAGCAATTCTTATGTTCCTAACAGCATAGTTCTGCCATCTCAAGGACACAAGTTCTTAAGAGAGAAGATTCCAGAGTCTGACCAACCCTGAGCTAAGCTATGCTAAAAGAGAAGGTTCAGGTACCCTCCTCAACATCAGGTATTAGCAACAAGAAAACATTAAATAACCAGTGGACTGGCACCGACCTTTAGACTCATTTTCACCCCAAACAGGCTGCTCTGATCCATAGCTGGTGAGGAGAGCAAAGGACTATGTATTGAAACTCTTCATCTGAAGGAAAGAGGATGGCCCTAAGGATATGAAGAGCTCAGATATGGTGACATGCAGCAGCATAAAACCTTAAGAGAGCATTTAACTTGTAGGTAGCAAGTTCAAAACCAGGCCAGATGGGAGTGTAGTTGCCACTGCAACATACAAAATCAGGCCACTGCAAGTCAAATAAAATGGTAGTCCAAATCTAGTTGACAAGGCCACATGGCAGTAAACTGCATGGCTACTCCCCTTGCTGTACTTGTTCTGCACATGGAAAACTGCAAATCTAGCACATGTTGGTCACTAAATTCAAAATGACGCTTAGCATGTTGCATTCACCTTGAGACACCGCTGGCTAGTTTACAGCCAAGACTGTGGGCCTCACTCACCTACTGCCTGGATTGCAATCAAAATTCCTTTGTGCCACGTCTTGGTCCTCTTCTTGCCTAGGATACGCATACCAACCACCAGGTCACCGTCATTGCTGAGGTCACCCCCAGCAAGCGCAGAGCTCACCTGCTGGGACACGCCAACAGAGATTGGTGGAGAGGACAGCCCATCTGTCCAGGAGAGAACAAAAGATAAGTCAGAAATCATTTTTCAAAGCAAACTTCTTACCTATGCAACTAAAAACCACTTCAGCTTAGAGCTTGACAAGCTAGAAACCTCATTAGCTTTACATCATTTATGCTATTTCACTCAGCCTAAGCTAGTTAGTTTCACTTTCGGGTTCTCACGCCCCAGCTCAGCGATGTTTGGGTGGCAAACCCTGCAGGGCTAGGTGTAAACTAAGCCCTTTAACAAAAACACAGTGTTACGAGAGTGTTGCTATTTCTACTAGGGTTTGGAAAAGATTGTCAAGAGACAAAACCTAAAGTTGGGGCACGAACCACCTGATAGTTCCTTCAAGCAGACAAGTAGCAAAGAAAAGACAATGGTCTTTCTGTAACATTCTAGAGATGGATTACTGCAATCCTCCCAATCACTTTCTATCTCAGAACAGCAGTGACCTGTCTTGGGTTGAGATAAAAAGCCTGGGCACACGGCTAAGCCAGTAATGGGACTGCCCTCTCACTCTGTCACATACAAACACACCCTTTTGCAGGTCCTGGGCGTTTGTTTTTTTGTTAACAGCTTCCATAAATTTCTGAACATCTTGGGCAGACTTCCTCATTGCAGCCATGGCTTCTCGAAGCTACAGGGAGGGAAGAAGGAGGTAGAAATGAAGACACTTTCCAATATACAATTTTTTCTTTGAGGAGTTGCAACTTCAACATGATTTGTTTGTCCTACAAGTTTCTCAAGGAAGCATGATGAAGCTCAACAAAATTTAAGCAGCTCTCCAGAGCAAGGAGTATCTTTTTTAATGTTTGCACAGAGCCTAGCACACCAGCATCCTGATCGTTACTTGTAATACAAGAGCACATTACAACACAAATCTTTTCCAACTCACCAGCGTCTGATCCTTTGAGATTCTGTTACTTGTATCACCTAGATTTAAATTAAAGAAAACAGAAAAAGCACTTGAAGCTTGGAACTGATGCTGGAAAAGAGTCTAAATCAGACCACAACCTCCTCCTGCCAAGACACCAGAGCAAATGGAAGGGGGCAAAGGAAAACATCCATTCCCAAGGAGAATACAATTTAGAGTATAGTTCTTTTACACATTTATTAGAAGATTCACTCTGTTAAACCAAAGATTTACATTGGTCATTGGAGTGGGCCACTTAAGACAAGTTTCACAGTTCTCATGAAATGCAGCCACCTCTGAGGTGAAAGGCACCAATACAGAGGGATAATTGCCACACAAGTGTTGGGTTCAACAGGCAAGGGAAAGATTTGGGGTGGAATACCTGGACAGGCCTTAAACTCTTAAGAGCTACGGAACGTTTAAAATCTATGCAGGTCCTCCGAAGTCTTTACTTATAAGGACTCTCCCAAGAAATACATGCACAGTAATCTTAATGGAACTCATTTTATATACCTAAGAATGACTGGAGGGACATGCCAATCCTTCTAGGGTTAAAACATGTAGTTCCAAGCAGTCCTGCTATTTCAAAACTGAGGCTTATACCATTAAGCCATCCCTCTTCAAACAGGAAGCCCTTGTAAACAGAATCTCAGGATAACTAAGGGCCACATCTTGAGCACGTACAACACCTAGTGACTTCAATGGGAGCTGAGAGTGCTCAGGATTTCAGCCCATGACCCAAATTTTGCCTCATTTTTTGAGGCGAGAGGATTCCCCAGGACCTCCTTCCATTTCACCCTCCTTCTTCCCCACCAAAAAGCTGTGCTTTGGGATGGGTTAACTAGCCCTTCTGGCTGTTGAGTGCTGGATGCAGCTTATCTGCACGACTCCTGAGACAGCAGGAGAATGGGGAGGGGAGTGTCATTTGACAGCTTCCCAATTTAACTCCTTTCAATTCAGGGAACAAATGCACTGACTTCACAAGTATTACACTTCCCACAGACTCCATGGGAGTCTCCATCTGGTTCTCCACAGCCTGAGGAAGAGTGGCCCATTCTTGAGGATGCTCCTTCACCAATTCCCCCTTCCCCTTCGTATTCTTTCCAGGGATACATTTTGATCTTCCCCACCCTTCACCAACCCACTCCCCAATGTCACATGGAACACTGAACTGTGCTTCCAACCCGAATCAATACTCATAACATCGTCGTCATCCTCATCTGGGATTTCGATCACTTCCGTGGGCTTGGAAGCTGAGTCCTCATCTTCAGAGCTGCTCTCACGATACTGAAGGCCCAGCTTGGAGTAGAGATCTTTTACCAGTATCTCGCATTTACCAATGGCTCTGCAGCGTATTGGGGGAAAAGAGGGGCAGAGAGAAAGCTTCAAGGTGAGTACAGCTGTACCCCACCCCTCCCAGAAGGAGATGGTTTTGCACAGCAGCGCCTGCTACATTAAGGGGCTACTCAGCAGTTGCTGCCATCACTAGCACTAAGCAGAACTGTGACTTCACCTCAGTAAACAAACCGTAGTCAGCGGTTGGACAAACCTTAACCTGAAGGACTCAAAGCCACGACAGAATGTGGCATTGCACGAACTACACACAAACAGGTACCGAACCACACAAAGTTAGCGAACACTTCTGAAAACTTGCCCACACATCAGTGGTAGAGATGGAAATAGAACCTGAAGGTTTGTCTACACTACCACGTGGGGTTGATCTAAGATACACAACTTCAGCTACGTGAATAGCGTAGCTGAAGTTGATGTACTTAGATTTACCTACCGCGGTATCTTCACCAAGGTAAGTCAACAGTTGACGCTCTCCCGATGACTTGCTTGCGCTCCTCATTCTGGTGGAGTACCAGTGTCAACAGGAGAGTCGTCAGTGGTGGATTTATCGTATCTATACTAAACACGACACGATAAATCAACCCCCGCTGGATCGATCACTGCACACCGATCCGGTAGGTAGTGTAGACAAGCCCTGAGACCCAATTACCTGTTCCAGCATGCTCCTTGCTACCTCCACTAGCTCACTGTTCAACACAAAGCTGCCACTGCAAGTGTGCCCACCTTGAAGCATCATCGAAGAGCTGGTCGACATATGCAACTTCTGCTTCTTTCTGTTCCACGTTCTTTTCCAGCTCTTCCAGCTGCTGTTTCCGCTGCTTCACACACTCAAACTTCTCCAGCTCCTCATCAATGAATTGCTGGAGCTCTTCCATAGAGATCCCCAACTCCTCCATCACTTCTTGCTGCAGCTCTGTTACTTCCGGAGAATCCATTTTTGCTAAAACCAAAGCAATAAAGAAATATGAGACAACATGCAAGGTTTCAAAGTTTTCCGCTCACACGCTGTAAGCCACAGCACATGTATTTTACCACTATACTCTCCTGACTGCAGCACAAGGCCTCACAAGCATATGAACATTAGAACATAAGAACGGCCGTACTGGGTCAAACCAAAGGTCCATCTAGCCCAGTATCCTGTCTTCCGACAGTGGCCAATGTCAGGTGCCCCAGAGGGAATGAACAGAACAGGGAATTGTCAAGTGATTTATCCCCAACAGGTGCACATGAAGTGGTGCTTAACGTGAGCTGATTGACCGTTTAGATGGAATCAATAAAATGTTTAACATAATTTCAAATATCCTGCTTTCTTCTCGAAACAAGAAGCTACACTGAATACGACTATTCAGAATGCTGCTTCCAATACGCCAGCAATGGAGTGGGAAGCAGGAACACCAAAGCTAGTTTTTCCAGGTAATTTTGTTGTGTTTATACAGAACCTTTAAACCAAAGTATCTACATTTTGGGTTGCTGGAAGTGGTTGTAAATGAATTAGGGGGCTGAGGGGCCCTAAAACAGCTAGAATTTCAGTTTGGACAAATTCTCCAAGCCTTCTGAATTTTCAAAGTTTACACCTCACCATCCCTAACCACCCCCACCAATCCCCTTCATAGCCATCTGAGACACTGCTGGGCTCACTCCCATGCTACCACAAGTTCTACTTGCCTAACCAGAGAGAAAAAGAGAACGTGACCCCTCTGTTGGCATCCAGTACCCCAAGCTTACGTACATGAAAATAACCCAAGACTGCTCCCCACACATCTATCTAGAGAACATGGATCACAACAGTATCTAGATTCCTGACCCCAGTTCCCCCACCCAACATCCGCTGGCTGCAGCTCCTCCAGCCACACAGCCATCCCTCCTTCCCACAACTCCTGTCTTTCCCCTATGCCATCCCATTTCCTTTGCCACTTCCTGGCTCCAGCCACCTTCTCATTACTTTCCTGACTCTCCTGCTTTCCCCCTGGTCCCCTGGCTCCGGTCACCCCTCTGCAATCATCTTCTGGCTCCCCAGCTCTCACCTCAACCCCTATCTCCAGCCCCCTTGGCTTCCCAAAGTCATCTCCTCTCTAGAGCTCCTGACTCCACCCCCATCATCTCCTGGCTCCCCGGCCCTCTTTCCACTGACTCCCTTAAGCCATCTCGCATCTTTCAGCCCCCCCAGAGCTACCTCTTATGCTTCTACCACTCAACCAGCTCCACCCTTATGTCCCCCACTCCAGCCCGCCTCCCGTCCCACTCCTTGGTTCCTGCCTCCCCCATCAGCCCCTGGCTCCACAGAGCCTCCCATGCCCCTTCCCCAACTCACCCCCCCCGGGGCTCCCCAACCCCCTACCTCCAGAGACCATGTGTCCCTCCCCAGCGTGCGCGTGGATCCCCCGAACCTTCCCCTATGTCCCCCCCGACC